ACTTTCTGTTGCTTTCTCCAATATGTCTGCAACTTCTAGTAAGTCCTTACAGAAGCTCTGGATCCCTAAAAATATGTAAAAGAGAAGGGAATGGGATTAGTCCACTGACAGAAAGAAGAGTTAAAAAACCCCACAACCCCAAAACCTACAGCAATAATCTGTACTCCTTTAGATTTTTAAGATGATATGTGATACTGTAACTATTTGGGGTAAAACATCCTTTCCAATTTTGGATGTCTATATACAACTGTTACAGATACTTTGATATCCACATCATCTCCTCTACGTCTATGGGAAAAAAAAGTTATTCCAAAAGAGCTAAAGCTATGCTAATGACCTAACATGAACAGTTAAAACTCCAACCAAAGTTACCAAAGGATGGCTTCATGTAATTTCCTCAAGTCTTTCTCATCTTGGGATTCACCTGAAGTTTAAAGCATTATGTTGCCTTATTCCTACCCTTTAACCTGATGTGACAAAAATATTTGCAGAAGACAAAGCATGTGGTCAGACTGATGAGGAGTTCAAGAGATGAACAGGGATTCCTCCTTGAATGAAAAGAACTCCCACCTCTCCCTCCCACTATAAACCAATTTTACAGAGTCAGCAGCTGTGCTTTGCAAAGACTGAGCAATTCCAAAGCTAATAACAGTCCCTGTTCTGAAAATGTTCTCTGGCTCACACTAAGAGAATGTGGACTGATTTCACTTAAGACAAAGTGTATCTAGTAATCAAGAACAATCAACACAATTCAATAACACATTTCTACATAGAGTTAAACAAAGAACAAACGGAACTGGATTGTGGTTTGGTTTTTAGTTACCCTTTTTTAACCCATACAGTCTTTTTAATTCTAGTTCACATTTTGGATGGTTTTTTTCCTTGCCAAGAAGTGATATGAGCATTACCAAAGGACAAGTCTTTGATTTAAACAAAAAAACCCCAGAACTGTGGAAGTACCTTGCAAGTTCTATAGAGATCTGCTAGTTCTCAGGAAAGGGTCACTTTAATAACTGCACAACTCCATAGAGACTCGAGCTCTCGAAAGAACAGTAACTAAGTGTCCAAGCAGTTCCAAAAATATGGAGAAAACAACCACAGTTTTAAACTAAAAACTAAAGCTGTGGTTAGGGCTGAAGTACCCCAAACACAGATAAACCAGCTGCCTAGTGGTCTGGATCAAACCAAATAACCAAACTCTTCAGAGGGTGGTTTGGCTGGGGTTTTTTATTGCCTAAGTTGTATTTGCAAATACCTGTCACTGCAACTCTGAATTTATGCAAGTCTCAGAAATGAGTTTCTCTTACTTCAACAGAAGAATCACTCATGTACAAACAGTAAAATTTACAGATGATATGTAATTTAGTTTTCAAGATAAATTTTATTTCAATATTTATTTATATTGTAGCATCTTGGAGCTCAGACCTGACTCAAAGTCCTTCTGCACTAAGTAGTACATTAGTGAAACTATACTTATTGCAAATCAGCTTCAGGACAAAGCATTCAAACATCCATGAAAAGGGTACAAAAATAATACATACTCTTTGTTACAGTACACACTAACTGAAGACCCTGTTATTCAGAAATTGGAACTTTTGTATTCAGAATTAAACTACACAGCTGTGGTACAGTGTGTGGCGAAAAAGACCAACTCATTTTCAAGTCAGAGTGGCAGTCAAACACCAGGATGAAACAGCATTATTCTGCTGCAGCATTTGCATACAATTTCTGTTTTACAGATTTGTGTTTGAAATGTCAAAAAGCTAAACCAGATATTAGTAGCCTGGCTCTTAAAAGAAGACGTGCTTCTAGCACTCCATAGTCTGACTGTGCATCCCTACTACAGGAATGAATCCACCCATCTAAATATATTACTTCTATTTGAAAGCTATGGCCTTCAACACAACAGTTATTCAAATAAAAAAGGCTAAAAAAAAAAAACAAATCCAAAATAAACACCAAGAATGAAAAAAAACCCAAACCAGAAGAAAAGGCAGTATTCCATGCTCCTGTTCAGATCTGAAACCAAAGTGAGTGAAAACAGCAAACTTCAAGCTGCAAACCTTACTAAAAAAAAATCTACTAGTGCAGTACACACTGTAGGAAAGCAGATACCAAATTTAAAGCAAATGTACCCAAAAGCTGTGGACTCCAGCAGTTTAAATCTTGCCTCTGGCCGGGGAGATGGTCACAATTCTGATGCAAAGTGAGGAACTGTTCAAACCTCTCTCCCTCAAATGCAACTTTTAACCAAGTACTCAGAATCACTGGGAAGTACAACCTGTCAGTACTGCAGACCACTCAGATTAATTTTTCCAGGCTTTGCATTTCCCAGGTCTTATTGAGAAAACACAACAGAAGCCTCCACTGACCGTATAACTTTGCCTCTTCTACTAGTTTCTGGCTTCTTTGCCTCACGTTTTCCGCATCTGCCAAGGCACGCTTGTACTTGTCCTACAGAAATAAAAAACAGTGACAGAAGAGATTTTATTCCTGCTAATTGGGTAGGTGACAATAACTCAACCCAGCATATTCAGAATAAAGCAGCATTTTAAACAGTTTCATAGCCTAAACCCACCATCTAGAGTAATCTGAAGACAACACATGCCAATTATCACAGCATCCTTCCGACCAGGACAGATGTTTGCTTCACTTTAGAGCAGAAAGAAACGAGGGAAAGGAAATAAGATGGTTTTCCAGACTTTCAGTATTTGACAACAGAGTAGTTGGAAGACATTTTTCACTCTATGCATCTATCAAGTTTTATAAACCCAAGATTTCTGCTGTGTGCTCACAGAAAGCCTTCCTGAGTCATCAGGTACTTTGACACTACAGCAAATGAGGCCAGACAAGGGATGTGACCCTTCAGCCTCATGTCTGTCTCCAACAGATGGGTTTAAAACTTCCTAAGTATGGCATAAGTACACTACTGTATAAAAATATTGTATAAGCATCATTAATTCTGACCTTTGAAAAGCCAGCAGCTGTTTCCAGAAAACCATCTCTTAGCACACACAAATGCACATACCAGAGACACACTCAAACCCTTTCATGACCTCTAAAAACTACTTCTCCACTGAGCAAAACCTATGCGAAACTCAGTAATAAATTTCAAGGCTGGAGAGGGTCCAATTCCATTTAGAAACTGGAAAGAAACCATCCAAAACTTTAATTTTGGACCAGGGATGCACCTCAAGTCTTGCAGTACGTCTACTCTTAGGTATAAAGAAATGGTGAAATTGTAGGTTTTATTCAACAACTAAACAGGAGTCACACAACTGTATCCAGACTGTGCACTGAGAACCCACAGTGAAGGCATCTGGGCACACAATTTGTAAGGTGTGCAACTGATAACCCAGAGACACTTACAGTGACTTCCTTTAGTTGTTCTTCCAGTTTAGCCTTTTCTTCAGCTAACAGTTTTTCAGCAGAGCTGGTTTCAGCCTTCTGCTCATTTTGGTTCTGACTCTGGTCCTCCTCCAAGTTCTGGCCAGTATTTTTCTGTTGTGTTGCTGCACAAAGGAGTCGTGGAGAAGTTCTAAGGCAAAAACATGGACAACGTTAATCAGCTGCTTATTTTGTAATATATTAGCATTTTCTAGACACACTGCCCGTTTCATCTGACACATCAGTGTCTACAAAATTCTCACACCAGAGCACAAATTAACACGACAACCCTAGGCCTGTGAAAACTGTGCAGAATCCTCCATAAAAAGCAACAGACCTCTGGCCATTTAAACTATAGGAAAAAATAACTGCTGCAAGCTTGTAAATGTCCATTACATTCAGTTTATAGAGTCACAACACTTTTAAGGGGAATATGATCTCGTTTTCAGCGCAGTGCTCTATCAGGAAGAAGTTCCGTGATGCAATCGCCTGCAACAGCTTCCCAGAAAACAAACGGAGAGAAGAGCAGGGCTGGGCCGCGGATCGCTGCGGAGCAGCGGAGCGGTGCCTGCCCTGCCGCAAACATCCCGGGCCTGGCCGCATAAATAATGACTGTTTATCCCCTCGTGACGTTTCTCAGGCTTTGCGAGCTCAGCCGCCCGAGCAAAGCGGCCCCGGATCAGCCTGCACTGACACACGGGCTCGGATACCCGCCCCGCGACCCCGGGCCTGCAGCCCCTCATACTCCCCGCAGGGCAGGGCCGGGCCGCCCTCCCGGTGGAGAGCTTAAGAAGGCAGCGAAAGCGGCGGGGAATGTGGGGCGGCCCCAGCGGCCGCGCGGCAAGGCCGGGCCTCGCTTTCCTCGCGGCCCGGCGCTGAGCGCGGCCCAGTCCCCGTCCCAGGTGCCCGGTGCCGGGCGGGCGCTGCGGCGCGATCGCCCCTCACCTGATGGCGGCGCTGAGCAGCGGGTGCAGCGGGAGCCGCGGGCGCAGCGCGCCCCGCACGCACTGGGCCACGGCCGCCATGGCGCCCTCCTGCCCGCCGGGCCTGCGCCCGCCCCCCCGCGCCGCCGCCAATCAGCGGGCGGGCGAGCCGGGAGTGACGCGCCCAGGAGCCAATCGACGGGGCGGGCGCGCGGCCTCGCGCCGAACAGGCGGGGCGGGGGGCGGAGCCCTCGGCCCTTCCGGGGCGCGCGCTGCTCGGCCCCCGCCGTCACGCGCGGGGGGTGGAGCCGCGGGCGGGGTGCGCGCGACGACGCCATTTTGTCGGGCGAAGGGGCGCGAGGCTCCGGGAGGGGTTTGTTGTGGTTTCGGTGTTTCTCGCTGATCCGCGTCCTGTGCGAGCTGTACCTGCGAAAATTGGGAGATTTCCGCTCTTTTTAAGTGCTGGATAACCCTGTTACCAGTAGCACTGGTCAGCAGTTTGCAAACCTTCGTGCAAAGATTTTCATCGTGTATCTGCCATGTGTGCTCTTGCTGGATAATAATTCGATTTAATGAAGTCTTGAGCTTCCATTAAATAGGATAACATTGCTAATCCACTACTTCCAGATTTGGCCACCTGCTTGTGCCAGCTGTTGGCGCAAGTGTCCCGTGTGACCGGAGGCTGCAGGAGCCCTGCTCGGTTGTGCTGGGATGGCTGAACTTTGGCAGTGTTGTCAATTGGTTTGTCATTATCCTGTTAAAAGGGAGAAAAAAAATCAAGGTCATGTATTTATCATACAGCCCCGAAGTGGTTGTTAGATGATACACAGATGTCTGAACACCAGCTGTTCACCTGATTCCTCATGTGTTTGTGCCCTCTCCAGACAGTCTGAGGGATAAATTCCACACTGCGGATTCAGTAAATGTACTAGTCGAGGGAATGTCTTCAAGGATTTGCTAAAAGAGGAGCTGTAGAAGACATTTCTGGCTTGCCGCATGAGAACCCTGCAGGACCTTGCTTGTTTTGGTCAAACTTCAGCAGAGTGAACCAGCCTTTGTTGGGCAGATTTGTTTGTTTGGGGTGAGCTGTGCCATTGCCTCTGCAGAAAGCAGGATAAATGGTTTATGAAGCCAGTGGCCTCATACAATGACAAGTGTTTGATCCCAAGGAGTCTTATTTTGGCAGTGGCTGCTCTGTGATGTGACACTAGTCCAGTTCCATAGCCTGTACAGCAAGAGAAAGGGTGTGTGGATGTGCTGTCTGTACACCGAGAGGCTGTAGTGCTGTCAGTATTCACTTTCCAAAAAGTAGATGAGCCACAAATTCCAAGCTTCATCCTCAGAAACACTAGAAGTAGTTGAGGAAATCTCTTCAGATGCTGATAATGCTGAGGAAGGATCAGAGAATACAAGGAGAAAACCAATAGCCATAAAGGACAGTATTCACAGAAGGCCACGATGAAATGAGATGGAGAAAACAATTGGATCTTTAGGTCTGATGTTTTTAAAATGTTTCCTGAAAAGATTATTGGTTCCATACAAAACCTAGACAAGCAAGTCTGTCTGTCTCATCTTTATTGTCGGTTGTTTTTCCCTGACACTCTTAGCATGTACCTACCTGTTCCAGCTTTTCATCATTCTGCACTGCCTACCATTTTTGGAAGTTGTGCTTGATTAATGATTGATCACAAAATCACAGAACTGATAACCAAAGGTTGAGAAGAGCCCATTGCCAGCATGTCTCCATTAATAACTAAAGAAATATATTGGACTCAATGTATCCTTCTTGTATTAGAACACATTTACCCCAAATGACAGTTCATAGGCCTTCTGCATGCAAACTTTCCAGACACCCCGCAGTGAAAATCCATTTTGTTGTGATCTGTGCAAGTGGAACAGCTCTCAAGAAAAATCTGCAGCTAGCACAGGTGCTGGTGAGTCAAGACCAAACAACATGTGCAGCACAGAAGAAAAGCATGCAAGTTTATTGGAGCTTGTTTGCATCATGGCTGGTGTTGGCTCTAGGTACCGTCCCACTTTGACCAAAAAAAACCCCGACTTTTTCATGCCTTGTTCTGATTCAAACTGTTGAAGGCTGTTCTGGTTTCATTGCAGTGCCACCTCGTGGGTTGGGTGTTTTTAAACTGAAACACGGAGCATTGAGCATCTGTTGCTGGACCTGGTTGGCAGTCACAGGTGTTCAGTAACACAGAACAGTTTTGTTTTCCAACACTTCTCTCCATATCAAGCAAGCTTTGGCTGCTCACATAAATACCAGGTTTGAATATGATTTGGTGGTAAGTAATGCTTATCCTCAATTCTAAACCGTCAGCCAGCTGCTGCTTTTCAACTTGTGCTTAAAAGTAACTCTAACTGCTAATTTCTGTGGGCTAGTGATAGAATCAAGTAGTCTGGATATCATTCCCTGTTTCTCCAGTGATTAACTTTGTAGTCTTGTTACTTAACCTCATTTCCACATTTCCACGACTACAATTAAGGTCAGTAAACTTTCAGTACCTTACAAGAAGGTTGTTTAGTGAGCATGAGGGAATTCCTGTGATATTTTGAAAATTCAAAGCTCCAAATGAATGTCTCTTTTTTATTATTAATATTGCACTTGTAGTAAAGAGACTTGTAATCCTTCAAGATGAAAAATGCCACAACTGTAAGATTTGTGCTTAAATAAAAAATTAAGGCATTTTTGTTTCTCTAAAAAAAACCCCAAACCTAGTTCTGTCTCCTAGATGTAATCTATTGATATTCAACCAGCCGACAGAATGCCATTACATTTGTGTTTCAAATATGAACTTTATTATTAATGTTTTGAGGGTAAAGGAAAAGGGTATCATATCGTCTCTGATCAGACATGTTATATGTCCTCCCAAGCAGAACCAAATATTGAGCTGTGGTGGGTGCAACTGTGTGGGGAAAAAAAATACCAAAAATATCTTTGTAAATATTCTAGCAGTGACCTAGCAGGCCAGTTACCAGGAAATACTTAAACCAAATTTTAAAAATGTTAATTTAGCTGTAAGACTGTTACTGAACTATATAGCAGTGAAGACAAACATTCATATCTGTGCCCTTTAGAAAAGGTTTCAGATCAGACCGCATGGCCATAGTATTCCATAGTCCACTGTGGGAAGATGTGTAGGGGAAAATTAAGGGACTGATCCTTTTGTATAAAATAATAACAATTTTTCTTCTACAAGGGTTATTGAGGCAAGAGTTATTATTATCAGCTACACCCTAGGTCCATTTTAGACAGAGGACAATAAAGATTAAATAGTTACTTGAATCTAGAAGCTTTACGTCCTGTAATGCAGGTTGGGGTAGGGAGATAACCTTATTTAGTTAGAGCAGTACTTAAATGGTTGATCTGTACATTCAGAATTGATAATTTTTAATGCAGACATTTTAAGAAAACTCCCAAGAGTGAATGTCTAATACCCACTTTCTGCCTAGTTTCTCCTTAGGCTGAAAATACAGAATCATACGTCTTGCTGTGATTATAAGGAGCATTTTTGAGTTCCCATAGCTTTGTGCTGACTAGTTTGAAAGGTACGTTTTGTAACCATCTTGTTGCCTGGAGAGTGTTGTCGCTGTGTTGGAAATCTAATAGCTATAGCCACAGGGCTCTGAAGAGAGCTAATTAGAGCAATTTAGAATAACAAAAGTTTTGTTCCTGGGAGGACACTGAAGAGATCCTTCCCCAGAGCAGCATGCCACAATTTCAGAGGCAATTTATTGTAATATTCTCACATAAGTCATCTGGTATCCCAAGGATGTGCAAACCTGGGTATCTATTACAGTTTGTTCTCTTAGCTCTCATGTTATCAGGGGTACTTGTGTATGCCTTGTAACATTCCTGGAGATATAAAAATGGAAAAACTCTCTCAATCAAACATTGTCTATCTTTAGTCTAGTTACCAGTCAGAACCAAGCTGTTCAAATGCACAGAAACAACCTGCTGTCACACTGATGTGGCTTTCCACCTTGAGACAAATTTACTGAGCATTTGGAGAAGAATTGTCAAATCATTGTGATTCTCTTAGTGTGGTGTCATGGATTTTATTAATATTTTTTGTAAAAATCAGTTGTTGCCCCTTGATTTACCAGAAGAATTGGACAGAAGAGGAGATCAGCTTTGTGGTCACGTTCACATTTGCCAAGAAGGCAGCAGTTGTTGGTATCTGTTTCTGCACACAGGCTAACAATGGAAGTGCTGTTACTGCAATGGTACTTTGACATTCATTCAGATCTACATTTTTCTTTATTAATATTTCTTTAAGATTTGATAAATTAGTTGCTGTGGACCTATTTCTCCTGCCACTGTGTACAAGTGATTTGTATTAGTCAAAGGGAACCTTGTACAGTGAAGGACTGCCAGGCCAGATGCTGGCAAACAGGCTGCCAGGAGCACCCTAAAAGCCTGAGGTGGCTGTTCATTGCTCAAGTCTGACTTGTGCTAATGTTTCTCCCTTGATTTGACACATTTTTTGTGATGACTGGCAGGATGTTGAATGGCAGGTTGGTTGGGCCAGTGCACAGAGCTCTGTTACAGTGGGATGTTTGAGGGCTTTCATTGACAGTGCAGTCCTATCGGAAGGCTGCTCTCCATGCTCCCAGCTGGATGACAAAGAAGGAGTGCTCCTTCCGCTGATGTTGTGCCAAGATTTTGAAAAGCTACGAATGAAAGAAGCATGAAGCAAAACTTAAGAAGGTTATCTTCTGCTTTTATTCAACTCTAGAGAGCAGCAAGAGCTTTTAATTGTGTTTCTATGCATAATAAAGGAGTGGGTGAACACTCCTGTGGGACCACTGCTGTGCTCCATTTAGTCCTAATCTGGCTAGATGAGTCTGACCAGAATGGGGACATAGAGTTCAGCTAAAAATAGCTGGAGTGGGAGGGAATAAAATGCTTCCAAAAGTCTGATTGCCATATAAATGACGCTAACATGTTTTTGGTGCTTTGTGTGAAGGTCACAGTCTCTGAACCTGGACTTAAACCTGTCCCTTAAATGATGGCTTCACACTTTGCTTTCCACAAGCATCTCTGAGGGCACAACTTCAACCCTGTTCTAGGAGCTTATATCATCCATAAAGCTAGACAATGAAATCTAAGGGGAATATGTGTCTTCCAGGTCAGTTGGGTTCTGTTACTATGGTGTATCTCTGTTTTTTGGATATAAAATTTGAATAGAAAGCCTGTGCCAGGCAGGTACAGACAGAACTGAAAGAAAGCACTTGCTTTACATACACAGTGCTTTCACCTTATTCAGAAAGCAAGAACGTGGCTGTTTTAAGTTTTCTAATAGTTGTCACCCACAGTGCTGTCACTGCTGTTCTAAAGGTTGCCTCAGATTTATGAATCACCTCAGGTTAATGTGTTATTAATCAATCAGAAACTGGCTGAAAATTATTGGTTCAGCACTGTGAATTCTCTTATTCTAGATGCTTATAAAATGAAATACCAGGAAGGGAATCTGTACTTCCATGAGATGTGTTAAATTAGTTTAGGAATTCTGCTGCTGTAGCTGAAACCACACAGTCTTTGTCTCTGACTCCATTACCAGCTCCTAGTCTCTGCACTGTTCTCCAGTCTGACCAGACAAGCTGTTTCTCATCACCTTTACAAGCCATTGCCATGTCTGTTGTGTTCAGAGTGGGAGAGCCTCTTTAACACAGTGCTTCCATCTCTGCTTACTCATTCCTAGGTTTTGCCAAGCTGTCCTTGCCTAAGACCTCATTGTGATAAGAGCACCTTCTCCTTTTTGATCCTGAGCACTGCTTCAACAGCACTGCGTTCACTGCTAGAGATGGTGTGACTGGCACCTCCTGCTCTGGTCCATGATATCAGTGTTGGTTGAGAATTATGCCTGTGCTGTGGTAAAGCACTGAGGTGGAGAATCCCTGCCCCACCGTGGCTTCTCTTTTAGGTCATCATTATTACCGAACAAAGCAGACTCTTCCATTTCAGAGAACTTCCAGCTTTTTTTATGACTAATGCTGTCTGTACTTTATTAGACCACCTTTCCTTGCTTGCTTCATTTGTATTCTAACTCTGTTTTTAAAAAGATATTTCTATCATGTCTTTTGAAATGTGTTTATTACTTTTCTACTACTCCCCAAGTGCTTTGGCTGGCAAAGTCTTAATGAATAAAATTACTGTCATTTTATAGCTATAAAAATACACTCCCTCCTTGGAATGGCACATATAAGTTTGTAGAAGCTGAGGAAAATGAGAATTATAGAATCATAGAATGTAGGTATCTTGAAGTTATTTAAAGTAAAATAGGAATACAAAGGAAAAATATTTGTAATATTATTTTGCAGGTATGAACTGTTGAAGCATTGGTCTTCCTAATTTTGCATTATGCACATATACTGAATGGTGCATCAGTGCTATTATTACAGTGCTGTTTGCTCCGTAGGATAGATCCATCCAGGCTAACTTTGTAAAAGTTGAAAGCTGACAGTAGTCAGGAAGTACCAAAGAATTCTGTATGTGCTGGAAAACCTGCTTAAGTGTCCTTGTACATTGTCATGCTAATTAACTCCGAGCTGGTTGTGTTTTTGGAAAGCTACAAGTATCTGAGGCACCTTCTTTCTCAGGCAGCTCTGTAATGCTCTGCAGATAAATTAGTGACTATCCACACATTGATTTGACAGTTTTTCTGTTATTTGGAACAGAAGGAGCTATTTTGGACTGCTGGTTGTTGTTTTTCAATAACAATTTTTAATACCTTGGTACAAACCCAAGTGAATAAAAGGTGTTTAAACAAGAAGTGGAGGATTCAGAGATAACTCTGAGAACTGTAGATGCTGTACTCCTCTGCCAGGAGACAGCATGACAGACTCAGAAGGTCTGTTCTCGTGGTTCTCTGCATTGCAAATGTTTTTCAGAGCCAAGTTTTCCATAAAGTCCAGCTAAACTATATAGGCTGTGTTAGCATTTGGCCAGCACAGCTACAAGCAAGGTCAGGCAAGAGCATAGCACAGGAAACATTTCTGCATTAATGACAATTTCCTTGTTACAGCTCATGGTTTGTAAGGAATAATTTCCCATTTGGGGGCAATTTGAGGCAGCAAATAAATTTACCCATATTTTTACTTTTCAGCTATTGCCTGCCTTTGTAAGGGCTCTGCAGATCACTAAGTGCATGCTAACTGCTGATCCGGTCAGGTGATGACTTAAGGCAGTCTCAGCTTCTCAGGCAGAGCCAGTGAATGGGAGAGACGGGATACATTTGTCTTCCTCGGGTGACACAATGGGATGGGTTGACAGCAGCAAAGCACCCACCAGCACATCAGTCCTCCCACAGCAGGAATGGGGGAGAGAATTGGAAGGGCAAAAGCAAGAAAATCTTGTGGATCGAGATAAAGACAGTTTACTGCTCACCTACAGACAGAGAGCGTCTGAGCAATGACTGCCTTGGAAAGACTTCCTCCCTAATTTTACTGCTGAGCATGGCATATGGCATGGAATAACTCTTTGGACAATTTGGGTCAGCTGTCCCAGCCATGTCTCCTCCCAGCCTCCTGTCTGCCCCCAACCTGTTTGCTGAGGGGGGCAAGGGGGGAACCAGAAGTGGCCTTGGCACACTGTAAGCACTGCTCAGTGTTAGCTAAAAATCAGTGTGTTATCAACACTTTTTAAATCCTAAATTGAAGACACAGCATCTTACAGGTTGCTGTGAAGAAAATTAAGTCCATCCCAGCCACAGCCAGTGCATAATGTAATAGATAGGTCTGACCCTCCAATGAGATCAACACTCTGCTAACTCTAAATATGACCCTACTGTAGTTGTCTCTTCTCTTATTTTCTGTAGTTCATGTTAGTGACATGTATCCAGTTGAGACAGAGAAAAAACCAGTATCTTAAACTACTGATAAATTTTATGAAAGCTATAAGCAAAATTTTCAAGTGGAATGGCTCAAGTTGTGTATCTGAGCTCTACTTGTGCACATAAATATTTTGGTCTTCAGACGTGTTCTTCACTTGTAGTTCCAGAAAATTTGTAATTGGCTTCATTTTACAGGGATTGTGTATTCATGAATTTTTGTTTGCTTTTCATTACATATTTTCCTGGTATATTTAAGTGAAATTCTAGTTTGGATAAATCTGTAAATTCAGATAAATATAAACCTCTGGTTTAGAGAAACTTGTTCTACAGGAATAAGTTTTCTTCCAGAAAAGCCTGTGCCACCCTGTGGTGAAATCTCACTCTGTTTAGGGACTTTCTGGACTGACATTTCTAGCATACTGACGTTTCTAGCATTCCTCCATTTGCCCCGTAAGTACTCCTACTTTACATGAACTCAGGTTTTTATGTGAAATTTGTTACATTTATTTCTGGAGTGGAAGATCACTTGGAGCAGAGGAGCTGAGATGACATGTGATATGAGATGAAGGTGGTGTTATGCTGGAAACAGTAATACATTATTAAAACCAAGCCGTGTTTTGACCTACAAAGGGTCAAAGGATAAGTTGAGCATCAGGGTTCATTTTTTTTTTGGCCAGTGAGACCACTGTGGAACTTCTGTGTCTGTCA